ATATATATATTGGTCTGCAAGGCAGAGAAGGTATAAACCGAAAGCTGTTGGTCACCATGTAGCTCATACATCTGTCCCAAATATTTTACCAMGGTACGAATTTCTTGTGATTTGAAATACATAAAATGTACAAAAGCAAACCAATAGAATTACAGTGTTGAACACATGATGGGGACAAGTGGTCAAAGCACTTTGTATAATCATTAGGGCTGTAAGAAAATATTGATGCACTTAAATATTGCAATATTTCATTTCCCCATACTGTATCAATTCTCTAAATCACTGTATCAAATTTTAATCAAAGCATAAAATGTGAACTTTTATGCCAGCAGTTCATTCTTGTGTTGTAATTTAGCCTCCGACCACTAGTTGTCAGCAGTCAGCCAGCCAGCTATTTGGCTCCTCCACTTCCTAAAGAGCCAGAGAGAATGCTGGGTCATTCGTTAGCAATGTGAGTAAACATTAGCACAAAGTACACCAATTTGAAGGGTACTGTACCCAGTTTCTCCTGACTGCAGCCAGCAAACAGAGCTGTTACGTTACGGCAGGCAGGTTGACATTTATTTAGTGCCCTGAGCTAAAGGGGGTTCCTGAGGGACGGTACTGAAGAGACCAAATGCAACAACCACATAAAACACTACTGTTATTAGTGCGGTGTACAACCATATTTCTATAAGAATTTAATATCAGTGTTACCCCTACTGTTATTCAGGACCACCCCCACCTCTTTCCCTTTCATTTGGAAGCAGACCGAGACCACCTCAAAAATGGATCTCGGTCTGGTTGTTGGGTCCGGACCAGAGTTTACATGAGTTCGGACCAACAGGTTGTTTAAAGCAAACCAAATGTGTCAGGTGCATGTGAATACACCTTAAAAGTGTTAATGCTTATGCTTTACACTCTTAATGGAAACATTTATTGCCACTTCCTCCTCTCATAAAGGTTCTCAGGACAGGTTAGGTCCACAGCGTGAGGCTCCACCCCCTCCTGAGGCCTCACTCAGTGGGCTTCATTCACACCGATTGTCATACAGATGAGTAAAGGTTCTGTTGTTTAACAACATGCTTGACATCATTAATATAAAAAAGTATAATTAAGAGCAATTAGGTTTCAGAAGAAAAGTGGGTTAACTGATTTCCATGCAAACAACACATTAGATATTAAAGCAGAACCGTTGTATATTCGTTATAAATGTTGTATATTCCTTTAACCATCCTAATGGAAAGAAAGCATTAACAGGTGTCACTTGCACTCATCTAGTTCCACTGTGAAGTGTTTACCTACCAGACCATTGTACTTCCAAACAAAGTGATGTCGCTTCCAAATCAAACAGGAAATGTCAACAAGACCAAATGGAAAAGTGAGCGGGTTCTGACCCTGCAGCTCCACTGATCCCAAGCAGACCATGATGATAACAAATATTACAACACAACACAAAGCCGAGTGGAAAACAACACTCTCCACAGTCAGCTTTAAAGGAGGTCTTTTTGTTGAAGGTTGCAGTAGGAGTTATCCATCGCACACAGGAACACCTCAAGGCAAAATGACCCATTCAGAGACCACAGGAARGAAGGAAGGTGTGCAGGGAGGACATGTAAGGACCTGCTGAACCTAACCCAAACAGGGTTAAATCCACCGAGGTATGTCCAATCTGCAGACATGGTTCCACAGAAGGGACAAGGAGTTAGCCCAATAAATCTGCCCCTGCCCCCCAACAGTCAGAATATTTCATAAATCACTTAACAGACTTTATGAAAACTCACAAAACAAAGACAGGGTTTTAATCTAGAWCTGATTTACTTGTAGAGTCACGCTGGCTGCCACAGCTAATTGACATTAGCAAAGACAAAAACAGTTATAACTCAGCACATTTTACAGACACTGAGCCACACTCTGGTGTGATGGAAGCTCAGACTCATCCCCAAAGCATACTTACTGATTGCATGAGTTGTTATTTTTTTAAATGATCCCAATAACAAACTCAACCCTGTTTGTCTGTTAGCAAAATATCAGATGACTCACAGGACACATTTTAACAAAACTTTCAAAAAGTGATCATTGGATGTGGATTGAAAGTTAATCATCATTAAACAGCATAGAAGTGTTTGTAATGCAGTCAGCTAAAATAAAACGTGGTAGTAGCCGTGAGTGATCCCCAACATAAAATCTGAGCAGATCAAGAAAGAAACTTTGTTTATCGTAAGCCCACCCACACAGACCAATATTTGCATTTTGACTCCCACCACCCACTGGAACACAAGTTAGGAGTGATCAGGACTCAGTACCACAGAGCAGACAGTGTCCCTACAAACCCAGGAGCCAGGGAGAAAGAGAAATCACACACACGACAGGCCCTGGAGCAGTGTGGTTATCCTGACTGGGCTTTCCTGAAAGCAGACAGGAAACACAGACAGGATTCCATGCAACCTTCAGGTGAAAATGAAGACCCCAAACCAGTCATCATTCCATATGTGGCGGGAGTTTCAGAGAAACTGAGACGTTTGTTCTCTAAACATGACATCTCAGCGGCTTTCAAAC